CCGAGTTTCTGACCGATCCTAGAAAGCCTAATCATCGTTTCATCACATTGCTGTGGGGAGAGGGGGCACCAGTAGTTCAGACGGGCACCAAAGGAGCGAACAGAGGGGAGGGGATAGAAGAGACGGGACAGGAATCGCACAATTGTCCTCTGGAGGCCATTGGTGAGCTCCGTGGGGATCTCGGGAATGACGATAAGGGACTCGAAGTTGGTACGTACTTGTATGAAAGAAGAGCTTCGATATGTGGGGTATCTCATATAAAACAGTTCACAATCATCATGTCGAGTAAACTCTTCCAGATATACACGACCGCGAGCAAATTCATCAGAGCGCAGAGCAGCACGGAACAGAGCGGCGCGAGCAGAGGGCTCCACTGCACGAGCTTCACAGGTTATGCCAAAGCGCTTCAGGTCACAAAGAATCGCACTAGATAACGAGAATCTCGGAGCCACTGGGAGTTGCTGGAGAGCCTCACGCTCAGCAACTCGAACATGATCAGTAGTCGGATAAAACTGGGCGACGCGTTGAAGAACGGGCTGACAGTAGGCGTTATACATGTGAATATTTCCTGCAAGGCCTAAACAGAGGCTTTTAACATATCTGGCACGTCGGAGGAGGGCCCGACACGGGCCTTGCCAACTCAAAGCAGCGCCTTCAAGACCCAGGAAGACCCCAAGGTAAAGCCCAGAACGACCGATTTTGAAGGCTCTGAGGCGGATTCGTTTTTCCCTGCAGTCCTTGCGGAAGGCGGCTTCCGCACGGTCGTGCGGCAATACAAACTGGCACTTCGGGGGGTGAAAGAACAGGCCCGTGCACTTGGCGAGCAGCACGAACTCGTGTACCATGACAGAGTGTGCAGCACCAAGATCAAATGCAACAATGCCGAGATCATCAGCATAGGCGCAAGGATGAGCGCGGACAACCTCAAGACTATGCCGCATCTTCCTGAACCAGGGATCAAGACCGAGAGCAAACAGAAGACCAGAGAGAGGACACCCTTGTTTAATGCCACGCTCAACCTTGCACTTGCCATAAATGCGCCCCTTAAAGCGCACGTGCATGTACATGTTATCGTAAAGGTTTTTCACGATACTGCAATGCCAATCAGGGATGCCCATTTCATTCAGAACATATATAATCCAACCATGTGAGATACTAGGGAAAGCTTGCTCGATATCATCAAAAGCCATACCAGGGGAGGGGGCGTTTTCATAAGCAGCATATTGGGTGTATCCCCAATCCAAAGCTAGTACATTATCCACCAGAGAGCGCCCTCCAACGAAACCACGTTGTTCACTATCGACAGTACGGCGGGCAACAATATTCAGCGGCTGTGCGAGTGCACTGCAAATCAGCTTACAATCCGCGTTCCCTAAGGCAAGCGGACGAGTATGCTCAGGCGCGCGAGACGGCTCTGCCTCCAGCGCTCCCTTGGGAAGAAAGGCCAGGAAAGCATCATTAAATTCATCGGGAATCTGCCCAGTGTCAATGATGCGACGATAATGAGCACACAGTATACCCCTCGCCCTCGGCCCACCAAACCTCCAACCAGAGTACGGAGTACCATCCAATCCTGGGGCAGAATCCCGAGTCCTATCTAGAAGCTTATCAAAAAGGTCTTCGTCGACTGTCCACATAATGTCCTGAGGAGCCGCTTGTATCCAAGTACGCAGAGAACGCATGCTGTCCTGGCAGGGACGAAAAGGTCGGGCAACATTCGCCCAGTGGTCCTGCAGCAGGTTAGCACAAACTTGGGGGTCGGTGTGGGCGTTACCGTTTGGGTCCAAAATTCCCCGCAACAGCACTTGCTTGTGACGGGGGGCCCAAGCACGGGACAGACGTTCAATTTTTGCAAGACCCGAGGTCCTAGCCTGTTGGGGAAGCTCCTTATCATTTAAAAGCTCCTGACGATCGCATTCAAGTTCAAGACGACTCATCTCTGCCAGGTATGCGTAAAAAGCATCAGGGTTCACTAAATTCGCATCATCGTCAACGAAATCCACAAGCTTGGGAAAGCGGCGAACAGCTAAACGTTGTTTATCCACATCATTTCGACGACGAGCACGATCATACATCATACACCACGATATTTTATGACCGATTGTTTTCGAGCTAGCCGAGCACGATTCCTTCTTAATGTCCGACGCCGCTAAATGCATTATCGATTTAACCTCAGAAACTGCAATAGCTGGATCCTCGGAGACCCCCATCTCTTCGATCAGCTTTTCTACCTTCCAAGTGAATCCAGGCTGACGGCAAACCCACTTGGGAATGACTGCGCAAGAGTTGGGAGACCGCACAGCGGGGATTGCATAGAGAGGAACATGATCACTAACATCGCGAAGCTCTGCGGGCTGCCATTCGACGCCAGCAGCCGGGGAGAGGTCCAAGATGATGGAGGATGGGAGAGATGTGCATATTCTGTCAATACGAGCAGTGCTGGTAAGTTTTCCATCACGTTGTATGCAATGTGTATGGTACTCCTGTCCAAACTCAGTGAAGCGAGAGAAAAGATAACCAAACTCCGTGGCAAGCGAGCAGCGCGGCGTACGATCCAGAGCTGGATCGACATGTTGACGGGCCTCGCCCATCGCACAAAAGTTCCAATCACCGCCTATGAATACGGTCATATGTCGAGGGTCGAGAGAACGTGAAACACACGAGAGGAATTCTTCCTTACCAGTCATCGAGTCGTTAGGGGGAAGGTGAAGAGAACAGAGCTGAAGAGCACCTCGAGGCCCATGGAGATCAACAGTTCGACATCTGCCACTAGCAACATTCATCGGTATACACTGGTCGAACTGCATATGAAGACGCTCGTGGATGCAGATAAGGACGCCCCCAGAGATCATATCATCGCAGAAGGAACCATAACACTTGTGGTGAGGGAAGAGGCGGGAGAGAGTATCTAAGTCCCCAAGGTGTCCGTGAGATTCTTGCATTAGCAGAACACCGAATTTTTCCGCAAGCCTCAAAAACGTGTTAAAGGTCTGGTTTTGGTGCCTGTGGCCCCCACTCTCGGCACCGAAAAGAGTCGCTGAACTCCATGACCCAATGCTGAAACGACTGCTAGGAACCCAGGAGACAGGAGGAGGCGGAGGGAAGACATTCGACGGCGAGTGCAAGGGGGGAACAGAAAAAGAGCGGCAGTCCTCATTCACTACAGGAGCCTGTCAGAGGAGGTTGAGCATGTCGATGATCGGCTTCACTAAGTCCGCCGTGATGCCCCAGTCCTCACAGTCGTCCTGGACCCACTCCGCATGGCCGTCCGAGTCCACACGTATGAGGTCCCACACGTCCTTGTCCGTCGTCACCGTGATCGCATTCGAGAATCCAGAGCATCCCAGCTTACACCTAGGGGTCCAGTCACGATGTGCACGGAGTAACTTCATCAGTGGCATCCATGCCTGTCCAAGGTGTCGTTGTCGCATCCGTACTTCGTGAGGGAGGTCGCCACGGCAGCGGAGCTGCGTCACTGTTCCACAGCGTGGGTCCTTCCAGGTTACACAGTTCATGCCGAACCACGTTGAGAAGTCACGAGCCTGTTCTTCCGTCGACCAAATCACACTGAAACTCTGCGACGAGCGTTGGAAGTGTGGCGATGCATCAGCAGCAGGCAGCGACGGTGGTAGCTGAACTAAGATCTCACTCCATACTTGTTTGCGTGTCACATCCAGCACCTTTCTCGGGAACGCCCCGATCCATCTGCGACATATATTCTGAGAGTCCGTCGGCCCACCACTCGTCTCCATAGCGATAGTTGAGGCCTGCGAGTTTTCTCCACGACGTCTTTTGGCACCTGTCGACATGCTGCGGGCAGAGCTCGCAGACGATGCAGGCCTTGAAGAATATTGTGTCTGTAGTGCCTTTACAGCCTCCATACACTCGGCGCACTTCGCATCCACCTTTTTGTCAAGCACCGACACCGAGTCCTCGAGCGCCGCAACCTGTGGTTGTAGGCCTTGCAGCGCTTGCACCGAGGCCTCCGTTGCAGTAACCTTCTCGAGCAGCTCACGATGTTGTGCCGTCTGGCTGTCGTTCATCTTGCGGAGGAGCTCGGTGATCCCCGCCATGTCCGCCATGGCAGCACAAGAACAGACCTTCTGGGAAGGTGATTACAATACTCAGCAAAATGCTTGAGTGTGAGTGAAAGAAATTCACAATGCTGCAGTCCCTGTCCAGGGGCGTTCTCCAGGACTGCAATCGCGCGCGGCCGCCTCTGCCCTCGAGGCGGGGGTTGCCCGATATTGCCACTTGAGCCAAAATGGCTACGGATGATGATGATGATGATGATGATGAGGATGAGGATGAGGATGAGGATGAGGATGAGGATGAGGATGAGGATGAGGATGATGATGATGATGATGATGATGATGATGATGATGATGATGATGATGATGATGATGATGATGATGATGATGATGATGATGATGATGATGATGATGATGATGATGATGATGAGGATGAGGATGAGGATGAGGATGAGGATGAGGATGAGGAGGAGGAGGAGGAGGAGGAGAGAGGAGGACGGGTCGTCTAAGCCCTTCGGAAAAACCCTCCACTGCTCCTGTTCTCCTCCTGCTCCACGAGATGACCTCCAGTGCAGTTCTGCACATCGTCGGGGAGACCGCCTGGAGCCCCAGACACCCCCACAAGACGACCCAGCAGGCCTCGGAGGCCCCGACACTGCCCACACACACACACACCGCACAACGACCCCAAGACGTCTAGAGACTGGCCCACACGGCCACTCGACTCCCACAGCTGGCCTCAAATCGTGATGAGCCTCGAAGGGCCCCAGAAGTCCCGCGCACGCACATACACACACACACAGCGAGACGGCCCCCGGGACCCCGAGGAGTCCACGGGAGAACCCACAAGGGCCCCGAAACACCCTCAAGAATCACCGAAGGCCTCCAGGAGCCCGCCAGAAAACGGCCGAGTGGTTACTGAGAAGAACTTCAGCCACGGATCTGCGCGGCAGCACAGACGGATTGGTCGAGTTGCTCTCCGAGACATTCACCTCCAAAGTCAAATTGTCGTCCATGCTGCTCGTGTTCATGGTCGCGTTGACATCTGAAGCGTTACCGTCAGTCACATTATCCACAATGACCTCATCGACAGTCTCATTTCCTGCATCTGAAATGTTCGTGAGATTGTCCTCCGAGACGTTCACCTCCCAAGTCGCATTGTCATCAAGGCCGCTCACATTTACGTCCGACGCATTGAACATGGTAGCATTAGCGTCTGAAACGTTGTCGTCAGTCGCATTCTCGGCTGTAAAGTAGTCGGTGGTCCCATTTTCTGCATCAGACATATTCGTGAGATTAACATATGAGACGTTCACCTCCTCAGTCTCATTGCCATCCAGAATGCTTTCATTTACGTTCGACGCATTGAACATGGTCGCATTGGCGTCTGAATCATTATCGTCTGTCGCATTCTCGGCTGTAAAGTAATCGGTGGTCTCGTTTCCTGCATCAGACATATTCGTGAGATTACCATCCGAGATGTTCACCTCCCCAGTCTCATTGCCATCCAGAATGCTTTCATTAACGTCCGACGCATTGAACATGGTCGCGTTGGTATCGTCGCTTGAATTCCCCGAATCCGCACTTGAAGCATTAGAGTCTGCCGAAATATTGTCACTGGTCTCATTGACTGCTTCTGACATGTTGGTGATATTGCTGAAAGCTTCTCCGGACGCATTATCATCCAGAATGCTGGCATTGTCCGAAATATCCGAGACGTTGTCAGTGGACAGATTGGCATCCGAGGCGTTATCGAATGTCGAATTCTCAAGGTCTACAACGGATACATTAGAGTCCGCACTGGTATTCTCAATGGTCTCATTGACTGTATCTGACACATTGGTGAAATTTCCCTCCGATTCATTCAAGGCCATGTCTTGCCCCGTCGCGTTATTATCTGGAATACTCGCATTGTCGAATGTGTCCGAGACATTGTACGCGGATTGGTTGGAATCTGAAACATTCTCTTCTGTCGTGTTCCCGTACTCTCCGCCTGAGGATCACAAACTGTGCCAGGAAAGGAAGATTGGGTGGAGGTCACGGGAGGCCCCCGGTCGGAGTGTGCTGAAGTTCTTCCTGGCCCAGGGTGTTGCCAGCTCGTCAGCGTCGCTGTCATCGCTCCTCGTTGTTGTCGCCGTCGCTGCCGTCGTCGCTTCGTCTTCCCACTCGTCGTCGTCGTCGTCTTTCCACTCGTCATCGTCGTCGTCGGCGTCGTCGTCTCACTGTGTGCCAGCAGCACCGGAAAAGGAAATAGTTCTGCCACCCTGCTAGATGCACCTTTGACGTGAACGGACTCTCCTTCTCTCTCTTTCTGGGGACCTCTGGGTCTGTATGCTTTTTCGAAAAACTCTTCTCGGCACGTTCCGGCGGAGCCCGGCCAAAACGTCTTTCCAGCGATACGTCCTTCCAGCAATCAGTGAAAGCAGGGAGGGATAAGAATAAGTGCTGCGTCGCCGCATGGTGTAGCATGAGTGTCGTCCCTCTCTTCCCCCCCCTTTCTTGTTTTTGTTCTCTCTCGCTCTCTCTCGCTGTCTCTCTCTCTCTCTCTCTCTCTCTCTCTGGGTTTCGTGAGGGGCGCCCTGGAGGGCATGGGGGCCTCCCAGGGAATCCTGGTGACACCTAGGGCCAGGAAGCCCTTTGCTAGCTAATACCCCACCTGGGCGTATCACAGAAGTCACCAAAGACCTCGGATGCCCAGGGGCGCTAAAAATCTTCGAGCCTCGATCCTCGCCCAGGAAGACGGGGAGGAAGCGGCCGCTTTCATACCAGTCTCCACCCGAGACATTGGCGTCAACTGTGGCGTTGCCTGCAGTATCCGCCGACACCTCGCTGGGGCCGCCAGGCATCAGACCCACGTCTGTCGCCACACGAAAGGAGAGGAGCTGACGGACGAGAGCAAGATGAGGGAGAGGAAGAGGACTTCCGCCTGGGGCCCTGGAGGAAGGAAATTCAAAATCGAGGCTGCCCCATTGCGGCCCTCCCCCTGCACCTGCGACGTCCGAACATCATGATGGCCCACCGTGACCCCAGGGTGCCAGTATAACGCCTCACCCTCCGTGTCTCCCCCTCCCTCCACAACATTCAGGAACACTGCCCCAAAAAAGGCCCATGGGCGACCAGCGTATCCAAGATATTTCATCAAAAGGCACTAAAGCTGCCCACGCCTTGCACCCGACATCACAAACCGATGAAACCCAATATTTGCAACTGGAAGTTCATGATCGAACCGACCGCCGGGTCCGTCGGTAAAGGACGATGAGGGGAAAATGGAAATATTTTCCCCTCGCGCCTGGAGACGGTCGGGCGCCAATGTGTCCAATACTTGAGCCGAAGGTATAGCAGAATAGATGGACAGAAGGAGGACAGGAGCGGTCCTCACGCACACACCCGTCCCGAATCCCGCCCGTTCCGCGTCAGCCTCGGGACGACGAGGGACAACGGCGGGACTCGGCAACAGAGGTGCGAGGATTACTCAACTCCACCGTCCAGCCCTTGCGCCCCCTGAGCGGGGCACCTCTCGGCCAGGGAAAGAGAGAAGGGACCAACCACGCCACACGAGGTACTTAGGAAAGCCTACCTGCTTTTAGCGGGCCGAGCTCCCCAAAAAAACGCTTCGGCACACCTCGACGGCTCTCCGTCTCCACAAGATAGCGATGTTGGGCGGGGAAACGGAAAGAGAGAAAAGGAACACCTCTGCGCCAAATGCGCCAACGTAGCGCAACAGACGCAAGTTTTCCACCGGCATGAAAACTCTACCATTTCCCAGCATGCATCAAGCCGTTGTACTACCAGCGTAGCCTCAATGCTTTCCTTTGGCGGAGTGCCAACGACATTGCCGCCGACGGGAAGCACGCGAATCTACATCCACATCGAGCACGATCGGCCTTGTCCTCCAAGTATGCTGACACATGGATTCCGGCACGCGGCGACGTCTGTTCCTTCTCACCTCCGCACGTCAAGGTTGACATATCCCGGTGCATCGACGTGATGAAGCACTTCCGCTGCCCCACAATCATGGGACATGGCAAGGCAAATAATTGGGGCCTTGGCGATGACTTCAACATCATCACAAACGAGACCATCGAGATGTTTACTGACCGAGGCATTGCAGTCTTACCCGCCGATCAGTGGGTCGAAATGCAGGACGGACCAGATGAAAATGCCTGGCACGCCACGCGGACCCACCACAACTTCGCACAGCTAACTCTGCAGTTCATGCACGGGGCTACCCTGTGGAACCTGAGCGCCGTGCCCATGTCCTTGGCAGGTCACAGCAAGCTTTCCCGTTCCGTCCGCTTCTGATGCATCCCGTCTCCGACGAGCAGGGACGCAAACAGGCGACGGAGCTGCAGTCTGCATTCCGCATTCGCTTGGAGCAATCCACGCGCTACCAGCGCTTCTGGAATCTCACTGGTCTTCAACAACAACCCCCAGACGACGCCACTATGGTTTCATGGATGAGCCAAACGATGCGTGCTATGCGCCCGCAGCCCGATGCTATTACTGCCTCTCTGATGGTGTCGACACGTGCGCCGAGAAATCCTCCTCCCGCGACCCCTGTACTCCGTGCTCGCCTACCCGAGCGGCAGCCCGAGAGAGCGACGGAGGCCGCTCCGTCGCATGCACAAGCCGAACCGTCGGCGTACGGCAGCGATTGGGACGGCAAGGCACTGGCATCGGCCGCCGAATGGGAGTACAACTCATACATAGTACTGCCCACCAGGCTAAGCACGTTGTTGGATACTGCCCCGCAAATCTGGAGCTCATACGATTCGCCAGAACGTAAATACTTGAGGACCACGGCGAAAATCTCGCACCAGGTTCGACATGATGCGGCTCGGCTCGTATTCGATACTTTCGTCGAGAAGATCAGGCCTCACTCCGAGGTTCGCGCGGGCGTTGAGAAAAACGATATCTTCCATGCGTACGCCTGCAACGACAGGCACATCAACAATCTGCAGGACTGGCACAAGAAGTACGCGGGGAACGAGGAGAACGACCCGCCGTCTCCTCGCACAGCAACGGGCTCACAGTTACCCCTGCTGGTTCCGCCACCTCCGCCCAGGTGCCCACCTCCGCCGGTGGACACACCTGCGAGTGCTGCTTCCAAGGAAGCACCCGCAGAGCCTGCTCTTGAACCTGACTACCTACCAGACCACCCCAACCCAACCCGAAGACCCGAATTTCGGGTTGGGGGGGGTAAGGGTTCCACACGTGTTTTTTTGATGTTTCCCGACCCCCCCCAACTGGAAATGGAGGTCAAATTGAGGCCTTCGGGTTGGGTTGGGGTGGTTTGGTGAGTGGTGACCACCTCCGCCGGTGGACACACCTGCGAGTGCTGCTTCCAAGGAAGCACCCGCAGAGCCTGCTCTTGAACCCTCGTTGCCGCCCGTGCCGCCACCAGCACAGGACACCACGAAGGCGCCGTCGGCGCCTCCCCGGCAGGAAGAGCGGAGGAGGAACGCGGAGGTGCTTCCACCTCGAACGGCAGGAGGAACGGAACGCGGAGGAGGAACGCGGAGGAGGAACGCGGAGGAGGAACGGCAGGAAGAACGGAACGAGGAGGAGACGCCGTCGGCGCCTCCCCGGCAGGAAGAACGGAGGAAGAACGGAAGAACGGAGGAGGAACGCAGGAAGAACGGAGGAACGTTAGGACCCTTTTTGTATTCATGTGACTGAGGGGTCGACTGTGAACTCGGTCCTGGTCCAAGTCTTGGGGCGCACGGATGCACATGCGCAGGGTTCACCCGGCAGAAAAGAAGAGGATGGCTCCGCGTCTGATTGCCGGGATCGTGCCTGTTGCGCACGCCGAAATTCGGTTTCTAGGCGGGCGTCAGCGCTGCCTTCTCCTGGCGGGGGGGATTGCGGCATCGTTCCTGGAGGGAGACGCGTGTGGCGCATGGTCGCGCTTCTGGGAATTATGCCGTGAACGCCTCTGCGAGGGGCTGCGGCTGGTACCACCACGCCGA